GCGCGTCGAGGCGCGGGGGGAGGAGGGCGAGTCGGAAATCGTGAGGGGGAGTGAGAGAGCGAATGAAGTATGGCAGCTCGAGGCGCTTCGGAGGTCTCGCCCGACTCCAGAACAGTCCGTCCGGCCTACGGCATAGTACACGGACGACTCCACGTGGGCGGCAGCCAAGCTGCCTCGCTTGGGCGCCTCGTCTGCCTCCTCCTCCTCCTCCTCCTCCTCCACCACTGCCATCTAATCCAGATCTGGATCCCTCATCATCATAGTGTTCCTCCTCTCCTCCTCCTCCTCCTCCTCCTCCTCCTCCTCCTCCTCCTCCTCCTCCTCCTCATCATCATCATCATCATCATCAGCATCAGCATCAGCATCAGCATCAGCATCAGCAGCATCATCATCATCATCATCATCATCATCATCATCATCATCAACATTATCACCATCACCAACATCATAGATCAGAATCGCCAGCACCATCATCATGATCCTCCTCATCATCATCTGCATCAGCACCATGACCATCATCATCATCAGCAGCATCATCATCAGCATCAGCATCATAATCATCACATTAATCAGCATCAGCGTCGTCATCATCATCATCATCGTCTTCGTCAGCATCAGCATCATCGTCATCATCATCACCATCACCATCATAATCAGCATCGTCCTCATCATCATCATCAACAACAGCATCAACATAAATCAGTATCGTCGTTATCGTCAGCATTGTCATCATCATCAGCATCATCATCACCATCAAAGATCAGAATCGCCAGCGTCGGTACCATCCTCAGCAGCATCAGCATCATCATCAACATCAGCATCGTCATCATCATCGTCCTCATCATCAGCATCATCAGTATCGTCATCCTCATCCGCATCAGCAGCATCATCATCGGAAGCATCGTCATCATCACCACCACCACCACCATCATCAGTAGCATCATCATAGTGTTGCTCATCTGCTCCTTCTCATCATCGTCACTGTCGTCACCTCACCACCACAATGAAGCATCATCGTCAGCAGCATCAGCATCATGAGCATCATCATCATCGCCGTTGTCGTCATTAGCATCATCATCATCACCATCAGCATCCTCGTCATCAACATCACCATCCCTATCACAACCACCACCATCATCATCATCAATATCATCATAGTCATCATCGTCGTCATCATTGTCATCATCACCACCATCTCATCTTAAGTATAGCTGTCACCCTGCTAATCAGAGTAGGGCTCCGTCTCGCTGGCAGGACAGAGACGGGAGGAGGAGAGGGAGGAGGAGAGGTATGAAAAGGAAAGTGGGCCTGGAAGGAGAAGGAGAGAGTGGGGAGACGGGGAAAAAGATGAGGACGTGGAGGAGGAGGAGGAGGAGGAGGAGGAGGAGGAGGAGGAGGAGGAGGAGGAGGAGAGGCAGCGGGAGGGGGAGGCAAAGGAGGGAAGAGGAGGAAAGGGGCCCTTGAAAGAGAGGAGGAAAAAGGGGAGAGGGGGAGAGAGGGAGGAGGAGGACGAGGAGGAGGAGGAGAAGCATAATAAACCCAACATGCAGCAACGATGCTAGAATGCACCCCCCTGTGCCAAGTCCCCTCGTCACACGCCTCTACCCAAAAAAAAGCCGTGCCATTGCAGGAAGCGCCCCACTTGAAAGACCAGCACCCCGTGGGGCTGGTAGTTCAGCTGTTACATAAGTTCAACGTTATGTTTTTCAAGCTTGGCGAAGCCTCGTGTGAAAGCCTCAGTTCGAAAAGGAGCTGTCCTCCCACCCCTGTCACTGTTCCACAGGCTTTTCAAACGAGGGTGCGCGGCGCTGAGGCGAGAGTTCCATTGTGAAAAAAAGGAACCACCATCCGTCCCTCAAACTGCTGCAGATCTTCAAAGACAGACGTGCGCGGCGCTAAGGCGAGAACCCATATTTTAAAAAAAAAAAAAAAAAAAAAAAAAAAAAAAAAAAAAAAAAAAAAAAAAAAAAAAAAAAAAAAAAAAAAAAAACCTTCCATCGTTGAAACTGCTGCGAACTGCTCCGATGAGCGCGCGCGGAGATAAGTCGAGAGCCCCGTGTTGAAAACGCCCCCCCCATCATCTTCGAAACTGTTGCGAACTTAGAACAAGAATGTGAACGGCGCTGAGGCGACAGCCATATTATGAAAGCGACCCCCCTCCATCCCTGGAGCTGCGGCGAACTTTCGAAACCAATATAAGTGGCGTTATGGCGAAAGACCCATTTTGACCCCCCCATCCGTACAACTGTTGCAAGTGTCGAGCTACAGGGTCACTAATTGTGAATTACCCTGGCGACGTACCCAACCCTTGCGCAATGCGGGGCATGAGTACATCAGGATTGCTACAACGGGGGCGATGACGTAACATGGACGCATGTGATTTTGCGAGCAGAAATCGGAAGGCTCACAGGCCCCCGATCAAGATCTATGGGCTACGCAATAACAAATCACCCCCGTTGGCTGTGCCATGCGCCCGTTGCACCCAACGTATCCCACAGCAGCTCTTGAGAACCCCCGCGGGATACGTGCAGGCGCAACGTTAAGGCCATCGCACGGCAGATCGTCTGTTTCACAAATCACCCCCCTTGGCTGTGCCATGCGCCCGTTGCGCCTAACGTATCCCGCACCAGCTCTCCAGAGACCCCCCAGGGTCGGCGAGGTCCCGCTCAGATCCCCGCGGTGCCCCACTCCACGGGACCCACCAGCAGCCCTCGAAAGTGGCGACGGTGTCGCAAATCGCAGCCCCCCAGGGACGGCGAGGTCCCGCTCAGATCCCCGCGGTGCCTCACTCCGCAGGACCCACCAGCTGCCCTCGAAAGTGGCGACGGTTTCGCAGATCGCAGCCCCCCAGGGACGGCGAGGTCCCGCTCAGATCCCCGCGGTGCCTCACTCCGCAGGACCCACCAGCTGCCCTCGAAAATGGCGACGCTGTCGCAGATCGCAGCCCCCCAGGGACGGCGAGGTCCCGCTCAGATCCCCGCGGTGCCTCACTCCGCAGGACCCACCAGCTGCCCTCGAAAATGGCGACGGTGTCGCAGATCGCAGCCCCCCAGGGACGGCGAGGTCCCGCTCAGATCCCCGCGGTGCCTCACTACGCAGGACCCACCAGCAGCCCTCGAAAGATGGCAGACACTGTCAGCAGTGGCGATGGCAGCCCCCCAGGGACGGCGAGGTCCCGCTCAGATCCCCGCGGTGCCTCACTCCACAGAACCCACCAGCAGCCCTCGAAAATGGCGACGGTTTCGCAGATCGCAGCCCCCCAGGGACGGCGAGGTCCCGCTCAGATCCCCGCGGTGCCTCACTCCGCAGGACCCACCAGCTGCCCTCGAAAATGGCGACGCTGTCGCAGATCGCAGCCCCCCAGGGACGGCGAGGTCCCGCTCAGATCCCCGCGGTGCCTCACTCCACAGGACCCACCAGCTGCCCTCGAAAATGGCGACGGTTTCGCAGATCGCAGCCCCCCAGGGACGGCGAGGTCCCGCTCAGATCCCCGCGGTGCCTCACTCCGCAGGACCCACCAGCAGCCCTCGAAAGTGGCGAGAGTTTCGCAGATCGCAGCCCTCCAGCGACGGCGAAGAGAGGGCAGGAGGCGAGAGGAGGCGGGAGGCGGGAGGAGGAGGAGGAGGAGGAGGAGGAGGAGGAGGAGGAGGAGGAGGAGGGACGCGACCAAGGTGCTCTAGTCAAAACGAATACACAACCAAGGAGGGTTGGGAAAAAGTCTCAGGCGAAACGGCTGGCCCTCACGACCGACACGTCCGGGGGTGCGACAGGCAGGAGCCATCCATCAGGAAGAGTGTGGAGAAGCGGGAGCAAGGGATCCTCTCCTCCGCCTCCAACCTCTCCGCGCTTGCTGACAAACACCCACCCCACGCCGTTGGCGCGCATGCCGGCGTACATCACCGTGTTCCAGTTCTCGCCTGACAGGCGGGGTCTCTGCGCGAGGGCGGCAAGGAGGACGGGGAGCAGGAGGCGGAGGGGCGGCGAGGAGGAGGGGACGAAGACGGAAGGAGCGGGGAGGGGGGCCAGGAGGGAAGGCCAGAGGAGGTAGGAGGGAAGGGCGACGTCATGGGCGGCCGGGCAGGGGCAGGGCTTCCGCCTGTCATCAGCTGGAAGACCGTCGCCGCGGCCCACAGGAACGTGTCGAAGTGCGCCCTCGGGATGCAGTCCTGCGCCCGACGGGCCGTCGGCAGGCGCGCCCCCAGGCTCGCCGCCTATCTGCACTCCCCTCTCGTCGCCCTGATCATCCTGCTGCCACCCCCTTTTTGTTATTCCTTTTTCTCTCTCTCTCTCTCTCTCTTTCTCTCTCTCTCTCTCTCTCTCTCTATCGCTCTCTCTCTCTCTCTCTCTCTCTCTCTCTCTTTCGATATATATATGTACATATATACAAATGTATGTATATATATATATATATATATATATATATCCGCCGGCCCCCTTGTGGGGCCACCAGGCTGTAGGCGCGGGTTCGCAGTTTCCTGTACCAGTTGTAGCTTGTAGTTTCCAGTGTTACAGTTCTGCTTCTTGCTGGTTACTGTAACTAGTTGACTTATTGCTGGTTACTGTAACTAGTTGATTGACCGCGCGAGGGGGGGGGGAGGCCCAAACCAGATTTTTAGCACCCCCTGGGCGCGTTGTCTGAATTGCTGGGGAGGCTCGAAATCGACACCCCTCACGCAGATCCGCGGGGTCAGGGTCCAAAAACACAAGGGATTTGCCACATTTCTGAAATTCGGTGCCACCCCTCACGCAGATCTGCGGGGTCAGGGTCCAAAAACATTAAGGATTTGCCACATTTCTCAAATTCTGTGCCACCCCTCACGCAGATCCGCGGGGTCAGGGTCCAAAAACACATGGGATTTACCAAATTTCTGAAATTCGATGCCACCCCTCACGCAGATCCGCGGGGTCAGGGTCAAAAACACAAAGGATTTGCCACATTTCTGAAATTCGGTGCCACCCCTCACGCAGATCCGCGGGGTCAGGGTCCAAAAACACAAGGGATTTGCCACATTTCTGAAATTCGGCGCCACCCCTCACGCAGATCCGCGGGGTCAGGGTCCAAAAACACAAGGGATTTGCCACATTTCTGAAATTCGGTGCCACCCCTCACGCAGATCCGCGGGGTCAGGGTCCAAAAACACAGGGGATTTGCCACATTTCTGAAATTCGGTGCCACCCCTCACGCAGATCCGCGGGGTCAGGGTCCAAAAACACAGGGGATTTGCCACATTTCTGAAATTCGGTGCCACCCCTCACGCAGATCCGCGGGGTCAGGGTCCAAAAACACAGGGGATTTGCCACATTTCTGAAATTCGGTGCCACCCTTCACGCACATCCATCGCAAGGCGTGGTAACCCAAACTGCGAGAACTCCCTCGGCCCTTTAATCGCAAGGTGTGGTAACCAAGCCCGTAAACCATACACGTCTTACCAATCGCCAGGTGTGGTAACCCCTCTTGTGATCAGTTGGTTTTGCTGATTGCGAATCGGCTTCGCATGAAGTTTCGATACTGCTTCACGACAGCGCCAAGGCCTCATGACTTAGCTCTTCCATGGCCCATTCTCCGAGAGAGGGGGCCGGCGGCAGGGGGTGAAGCCCTTACGGATATGTATGTATACATGACTCTATAGTTATGTGCGTATTAACCTTCGGACCATCCCGCCACGGTGCCTGGGCTGTGCGGGGGGAACTCTTGGAGGGGTCTTCAAGCGTCTTGAACACCTCAGGGGCCGTTCGAGCTGCATCGTGAGCCGTCGGACACACCTGGAGGACGTCTTGAAAATGCTGCGCGACTGTCTTGGGGCGCCGTGACGCCCGTCGGACCGCTCTCAGGGGCGCCTTTGGGACCCCCAAACGCGGGCCCGGCCCCCGGGCCACCCAGTTGTGGTAGAGGTCGTGGGCCCCCGGGCCCCGGGCCCCTGGGCCCGGTCCCCGCTATATGTATAAACATCACCTACACAAGGAGAGAGAAAGAAAAACAAATAAAGATTATCCTGGCGAAAGACCCAACCGTATGCAGTTGTGAATACCGCAATTGTGAATACCATCTTCGCCCGCGCTCCCTATGTGGCCACGGCTTCCCGCCGGAGCCCGACATGCTCAGGGACACGTTCGTGGCCGTCTTCGCGGGCGCCGCCGACGACAAGGACGGCGTCCCTCTCACCGAGGAGCAGAAGCAGGAAAGGGCCTTGAGAGCCATGAGGGAGGAGGTGGCGTTGCACGTCGACAAGGCGGAGTACGACGCCCATGCGCGGTTGTTGAAGCAGCACAACTATGGGGCCACGATCCTCGTGAGGGGTGTGCCGAAATGGCCCGGGGCCGCCATGCGAACCCTGCCACTGGCGCCTTCGGTGGAGCTCCAGTGGGGCCACGGTCCTCGTGAGGGGTGTGCCGAAATGGCCCGAGGCCGCCATGCGAACCCTGCCACTGGCGCCTTCGGTGGAGCTCCCTATGGGGCCACGATCCTCGTGAGGGGTGAGCCGAAATGGCCCGAGGCCGCCATGCTACCCCTGCCACTGGCGCCTTCGGTGGAGCTCCCTATGGGGCCACGATCCTCGTGAGGGGTGTGCCGAAATGGCCCGAGGCCGCCATGCGAACCCTGCCACTGGAGCCTTCGGTGGAGCTCCCTATGGGGCCACGATCCTCGTGAGGGGTGTGCCGAAATGGCCCGAGGCCGCCATGCGAACCCTGCCACTGGGGCCTTCGGTGGAGCTCCCTATGGGGCCACGATCCTCGTGAGGGGTGTGCCGAAATGGCCCGAGGCCGCCATGCGAACCCTGCCACTGGGCCTTCGGTGGAGCTCCCTATGGGGCCACGATCCTCGTGAGGGGTGTGCCGAAATGGCCCGAGGCCGCCATGCGAACCCTGCCACTGGCGCCTTCGGTGGAGCTCCCTATGGGGCCACGATCCTCGTGAGGGGTGTGCCGAAATGGCCCGAGGCCGCCATGCGAACCCTGCCACTGGCGCCTTCGGTGGAGCTCCCTATGGGGCCACGATCTCGTGAGGGGTGTGCCGAAATGGCCCGAGGCCGCCATGCGAACCCTGCCACTGGCGCCTTCGGTGGAGCTCCCTATGGGGCCACGATCCTCGTGAGGGGTGTGCCGAAATGGCCCGAGGTCGCCATGCGAACGATCCTCGTGAGGGGTGTGCCGAAATGGCCCGAGGCCGCCATGCGAACCCTGCCACTGGGGCCTTCGGTGGAGCTCCCTATGGGGCTACGAAACGCTGTGCTGGGTGGGTGAAACGCAAGGAGGGGGGGGAGGAGGAGAGGAGGAGAGGAGACGCGGGCCACCGTCTCTTGAAAAACACCACAGGATGGTTGGAAAATAAACAAAAAGCTGCACTTACATAAACTGTCGGTGGTCCGCACGGACTTCTTGCACCGAGACTGCACCACTCTGGCGGCGCCTCTGGCGCCGACAGAAAAAGGGGTTCAGCGCCGATCCTCTATCCCATCTTCCCCTCGCCCCTATTATGTATTTCTTTCCTTCAGTAGAGGCACGATGTGTCGATCACACGGCCAGATGTAGTGGTCTTGCCCTCTCCCCTACTCCTTCTTCTCATCCCCGCTGCATTCCCCCACTGCCCCCCGAGTGGTCCACGTTGCGGTCAGCATGATTGGGACCGCACCAGCCCTGGCCCTGGTCGTCCGACGCCTCGGCCATGTCGTTGGGGTCGGGGCCCTGCCATTAAGGGGAAGGAAAAGGAGAAAGAGTGGGGAGTGAAATGGGGAGGTGGACGGGGAGGTGGAGGAGAACACGGGGGGCAGGGGGAGGGCGGAATCGGGGGGGGGAGGAGCCGGGACCGGAGCTTTGAGGAGCTGAGGCTGGGGCCCGAGCTGGAGCTGGAGCTGGAGCTGGAGCAGGAGCTGGGGCTGGAGCTGGGCAACAGCTGGAGCTGGAGCTGGAACTGGAGCAGAGCCTGGGCTGGAGCTGGAGCGAGAACTGGACCCCAGGCTGGGAAGCTCGGCCGGAGCTGAAAGTGGAACTGGAGCTGGAGCTGGAGCTAGAGGAAGGCGCTGGAATAGATCTGGAGCTGGAGCTGGAGCTGAGCGGGAGCTCAACCTGGGCGGAGCTCGAGCTCGGCAGGAGCTGGCCTGGAGCTCGAGCTGGACCTGGTCCTAGAGCTAGAGCTGTAGCTTGGGCTGGAACTGGCGCAAAGGCTGGAGCTGGGGCTGAGAATGAAATCCCGGCACCATGAAGAGCACTAAGCACTGGAGGGGTGGCACCAGACGCTCAAAATCAACTAAGGGGATGCAGTCCTGGCACCATGAAGATCACCAAACGCTGAACTGTTGGCTCCAGAGGACCACAATCGGTCCTGGGAGCGGAGTTCTGGCAACACGAAGGGCGGTACCCCTGGATCAATATCAGGCCCAAAGTGAAGTTTGGGCACCACGACGAGCCAGCCTGCTGCCTGCTTCGGCGGTGGACAAACCTCCCTTTAGCAAACCTCCCTTTAGTGAAAACGGCCTAGGACCGAAACCGACGGACCTGGACCCGCAAAAACGACGGCCGCGACGCCCTCTCGCGAACCGAAAACGGCCAATTCGCTAATCGACGTGTCAGGGTGGAAGGTCTATCCACCCCCGACTGCTGCAACGGTCGCGCCTGGATGATCAGAATCAGGCCCAAGGAAAAAGCTCTGGAAACACCTAGAAGAGTCCGGCCTCACCCACCAGCCTGGCTCCAACATTAAGTTTGAGTCGGGCGTGTCCCCCTACAGGGGGATTTTCGACGAAAAATGAAGAATACTCCAAAATGCTCCAAAATTGTCACAAAAAACACTGTTTTTTGACTATTTTTGAATATTCCCGGTGTAGTGGGACAGGCCCGACTTAACATTAAGCAGACGACAGAGAGCCTCCCTGGGCACGCCCAGTCGTGGAGCAAGGGAGGGGCGTGGGGCTTCGAAGCGGGCGGCAGGAGGTGACAGAGGGAGGAAAGGATCGAGGATCGGAGAGGAGGAGGAGGAGGAGGAGGAGGAGGAGGAGGAGGAGGAGGAGGAGGAGGAGGATGGAGGAGGAAGGAGGAGGAGGAGAGGGGAGGAGGAGGAGGAGGAGGAGGGAGGAGGGAGAGAGGAGAGAGAGGAGAGGAGAGGAGAGAGGGGAGGAGGAGGAGGAGGAGGAGGAGAGGAGGAGGGAGGAGGACGGAGGAGGAGGGGAGGAGGAGGAGGAGGAGGAGAGGAGGAGGAGGAGGAGTGAGGAGGAGGAGGAGGCGGAGGAGGAGGAGGAGGAGGAGGAGGAGTGAGGAGGACGAGGAGGAGGAGGGAGGAGGAGGAGGAGGAGGAGGAGGAGGAGGGGGAGGGGGAGAGAGGAGGAGGAGGAGGTAGGGGGAGGAGAAAGGAGGAGGAGGAGGAGGAGAAAGGAGGAGGAGGAGGTTCTGGCCTTCGCGCCGCGCACATCTGTCATAAACGTTCGCGACGACTTGGCGGGGGGAGGGCAGGTCGTTTTCAAAATGCGGTTCTCGCCTCAGCGTCGCATTCATGTGTTGTAAAAGTTCGCAGCAGGTTCAAAGACGGAGGGCGAGTCCTTTTCAAAATGTGGCTCTCGCATTGGCGCCGCGCACACTCGTTTCACAAGTTTGCAACAGCTTCACTGATGACGAGCGGGTGGTTTTCAAAATGTGGCTCTCGCAACAGCGCTGCACATTCGTCTTCGAAATTTGCACTCATTTCACAGACGGAGGGCGGTTCCTTCCCAGAATGTGGCTGCCGCGCCTTAGCGCCGCGCACAGTCGTCTTCGAAATGTACAGCGGTTGCAAGGATTCATATGGTCGAAATCCCAGACGTTGTGTTTTTACACGATGTATGACTGTCATGACGCGAAGTTTGATTCGCGGTGTTGAAATCCCAGAAATGGTGCTGGCACGATTTAAGATTGCCAGGACGCAAAAATCACTCTGATCCGCGACGTTGAAGTCGCAAGAACGGTGTTCTGACACGATTAAGGATTCCCCGACAGTTCTCTTCTAGTGGACCATTTCCCGCACTGATGTTCAAATATCGGACCGATGAAGAAGAAGTATCTTGAAGGAGGCATGATGGCACCTTCGCTGATGCGTCTTGGGTTCACACTGGTCCTCCTTCTCCTCTTCCTCCTCAGCTCTTCATCTTCCCTTCCTCTTCTTCCTCTTCCTCCTCCTGCACTTCCTCTTCCTCCTCCTCCTCCTCCTCCTCCTCATCCTCCTCCTCCTCCTCCCAACCCGTCTGGGACTGCCAAGGGGTGTCGCACAAAGGCCGCCGGCGGCGGCTCGTCAGACTGCGCGCGCCTTGAAATGAAACTGCCGGCTGAAAAGGGTCATCGCGGCAAGGGTGAGAATGTACCTGCCCGACGTCTGCGCAGCTCACCAGGAGGGCGGGAGGGGAAGAGGAGGATGGGGGGCGTGCGGGGGCGAGCAGAGGGAATGGGTGAGAAGGGAAGGGGGATGAAGAGGGGGGCGAGGAGGGAAAGAAGGGGGAGAAGGGGAGAGGGGAGAGAAGGGAGGGGGAGAGGGAGGGGGAGAAGGAGCGGAAGTGGAAGGGGAGGGGGAGAAGGGAGGGGGATTCATACACAGACCTATCGACGGTCCAGTGCAAACATGAATTTGCCCTCAGCTGTCTGCGACAAAGCGGGAGCGGGACAAGCAAGGGAAGGGGATTGGGAGAAGGAAGGGGGGAAAGGATGAGGTAGGGGGAGGGCGAAGGGGGACAGGGAGGGGGAGACGGGACAGGAAGGGTGACGGGGAGGGGAACGAGGAGGGGGAGGGGGACGGGGCGAGCAGCTGAAGGCCTGGGAGGGGGGGGAGCGCGCACCCCCTTACCCCCCCGGCCCGCTCGAGATGTGGGAGGGGCAGTGGCCGCACCCCTCGCACCTGGCCGCCACGGCTGCCCATCCTGGCCCCCGCGCCGCCCGAGAGGCCCCCCCCCGAGGCGGCCCCCTGGACGCCCACCGGGGGATCCGCAGAACGCGGGCAGGGCGAGAACGTGCCGCACGACTCCGGCCCAGGAGCCCAGAGCCCCACCGCACGGCCCACGGAGGGGCCCACGCGCGCCGCCCTCTCCCAGTCCCGTCAACACGGCAGGTGGCAAAGCTCCATAGATGCTGAAGCTGTCTACAACTGCCAATACCAAGATAATTGGTAATCGTGATTGTCTGCGGCCTCACATCTTTCACATCTGCGGCTTTCGGAACACCAATTACCGCGCGACGGGGTCCTCTGATTGCCACCTCTCTCCTCACACATTTGCCCTCAGTCATTTCACACGGCTTCCCGTATCAACTCACTTAAGACGTTGGAGGAGGGGTCTGTGGGCAGTGGAGGTCGCGGTGCAGGAGGAGTGCTTTCTTGTCTATGCCACTGTGGCCGACGGAAGGGGAAGCCACTTCCCACTGTGGTCTCCCACCAGCAGCTCTTTCAGTGCTCCACTCTACCTATAGCCTGCAGTGCACAGCTACACCAACTTCTTATAAAGTCGGCTCCTCCTGCTGTCGTCCTTTCCGCCCGCCGGCTCGGTCGTCTCGTCTCTCCCTCTCCTCTCGCCCTTCCCGCTCCTTCTGGCGGCCGGTGGCCTCTCCTCCCCCCCAGGTGGGAGTTTAGCGGTCGCCTCCTCCGGCTTGTGACCTCCCCTGCTCCACCCCCCTTGTTTCTTGCACGTCGTTGCTGCTCGCTGGCGAGCCGAACGCGGTGCCCACACGCGGCACTCTCCCTACCCTAACGCTTAGATCAACGCAGCCCGCATCACGGCCTCGTGCATCTACCTCTGGCCTCCCCCCTGGCTTCGGACTATGCAGCACCTCTGTGGCGCAGTCCTCGCACGCGTTACTCCACTTGTTCAACTCTTGCTGTGCTGACTACTGAGATAGGGAGGTCGGCTTGAGGAATATGGGGGGGCGGGGGGGGCGATGGAGGGAAATACAGGTAGCAACCCTAGAATTGCCACATGTGTCTCTGTAAGGCCGTACCTACAGCCCAGCCAGCATAGACTGTGCAAGCCTCTGCACACACACACACACACACACCTCTAGGCATCCGTCCACCTCCACCGCCATCTGCGTACATTCCACATTTCTCCTCCCTCCTGGCTTTGGATTTGCAGCATCTCTTTGCCGCAGCACTCGCACGCATACTCCACTTGCTCAATGTAACTAGCACTGCCAAGGCCAGACTGTCCTGCATGGCCAGTCTACCAGTACCTTCAGTGCGACTCAGCCATGCCAGAACATCCAAGCCCACGCTGACTACTGTGATGGGGGAGGTCGGCTTGGGGAGGGTTATGTGGTGAGGTGAGCGGGAAGAGTGCCGCGACCTGCTCGAGGAAAATACGGGTAGCAGCCCTAGAATAACAACGTGTTTCTCTCCACGGCCTTTTCTACAGGCCAGCCAGCATAGACTGTGCAAGCCTCTGCACACACACACACACACACAGATAGATATACACACACGCACAGACACACACACACACACACACACGCGAACACAGACACCCACACACACGCGCGCGCGCACACACACACACACCTAGACATCCATCCACCGCCATCACCGTGCATGTTACCTTACACCTTCCTCCTGGCTTAGATATGCAGCATCCCCCGTCGCAGTACTAGCACGCATACTCCACTTGTTCAGTGTAAGTAGCACCACGGCCAGACTGTACAACATGGCCAGCCTTCCAGTACCCTCAGTGCTACTCAGCCATGCCAGCACATCCGAGCCAATGCTGATGCTGGGATGGGGGAGGTCGGCTCGAGGCACTGGTGAGAAAGACTACAAATTTCAAGACCGCTCACTACTTACATGGCCAGATCACAAAATCAGCCGTACTTTAAGGCAGCTTGTAATACGACGGGCTCAGCATGTAAGACACTCACTCTTGCATTACAAGCCCCCTTCAACTGACTACCTACCAGACCACCCCAACCCAACCCGAAGACCCGAATTTCGGGTTGGGGGGGGTAAGGGTTCCACATGCGTTTTTTCGAGGTTTCCCGACCCCCCCCAACTAGAAATCGAGGGTAAATCTGAACCTTCGGGTTGGGTTGGGGTGGTTTGGTGGGTGGTGAATTTAAGACACTCACTCTTGCATTACAAGCCCCCTTCAACAGGGAGTGGCCCCACAGCTCGGACCGTTAGCAACTACCTGTACCGCAAACCTCACATGCATTACTCCAACCGTCCCAAGGTTAGCTCACACTACTGAGGCCAGCCAGTACCGCCTGGCCAGCCTGCCAGTGCTCTCAGTGTCTTCGGCCATGCCAGCACATCCAGGCCTGGCCCGTACCTCCCAGGATCGGTGGGGACGGCTTCAGAGGAGAAGACACTCATAGTTGCATTTCAGGAACCCCCTGCTCAACAGGGCGTGGACACACCGCTTCGGACTGATAGCATACGAGAAGACATGCCGTCAGCTCAGGTTGCACACTTCACACTCTCGAACTTAGATCGCTACTTTACGCTTTTTGCGTCGCCTGTCTCTATATTACTTAATTGCACTGCACGCGTATTTCCACCTCTCCTCGTGCGGTATCCTCAGTTGATTGCTATCATGTTCTAATTCAAAGATTATTGATTGTCTGGTGCCTCCCCTCACCTGTCGCCGCGTACTGGGTTATTCTCGCCCTTGCGGGCCGCTACTCTGTACCTTTTCTCTTAGAACTGCTGCCTCTGCACCCGTCCGCGGCCGAATTTGCTTGCTGCTTCGCTTCAGTCGGCGATTCCATTTCGGCCCTGCACCCGCGCAGCGTCATTTCGGAGGAGGAGGAGGAGGAGGAGGGCGAGCCGTGGGCAGGGGCGGCCAGGGCCAGGGGACAGGAAGATGACGAACAGCACGAACCAGTACACGAGCGAGATGGCGGTCTGGACGATGGCCTGGGCGCGCAGGGGGGGGGGGGGGGCGCGGGGGGGCACCCGGAGGCCCCGTGCCGGGCCCTCCCCGGCGCCGCGCGGAGGCCCCCCGCTGGAGGCTGTCGGCCAGCGTGGGCCCCCCCCCCGGGGGCCCCATGTCACTTGGGCCCCGGGGCCGTCGACCACCGACTCGGGGAGGAAGAGCGGGTCCCGGGGAGGGGGTTTCCAGGCCTCTGTCGTGGAGGGCCTGACGCCCTCTCGGCTCCGTCGACTGGCGCGGAAGCTCCCACGATGCAGTTCCGGACTCGCGTGGATACTTCTAGCTCTCGTCCCGACAAACTCGGAGCTGCGTCGACTTACGAAGAGTTGCTAGCCTCACCCCCGTAAGTCGATTGGAGAAGAGTCGTCAGCCCTCAGGGACTCTGGGGAGCCACCTTGTGACAAAATTCACGACGTCGGATGTTCTAGGACGGAGAACTGAAGGTGGGGAGGGTGCTGAGGGGCGACGTGCAAGGGCAGGGGATTTTGCTCGGCCTCCTCCTCCTCCTCCTTCTCCTGCCCCATCTCCTCCTGTCTGTGTCTTCCTCGCCACGTAGCTTACACGATATCACTGCCACCACATAGCTTGAGTCGCATAGCTTACAGCAGATAGCTCGCATCACATAGTTTACACCATATAGCTTACATCACATAACGTGGCACACACATCCACCATTCAAATTCACTGACTGGCACCCACGCTGTGAAACAGGATGTTGTTTATACTTGTGTATAGGCATACCTACAGAAAGGGAAAGAAAGGGAAGAAAAATTTGGCCCGAATGGGGCACAAGGAGCCAAAGTGAGATAGAGAGGGACGAGAGAGAGAGAGTTACGCACAGAGAAAAGTGGAGATTGGAAAGGGCCCTCAGGATCGAGATGCCTGAAATGGGAAGGTGCCGATGGGGAAGATGCATATATGCGAACACGACACAGGACTGGCAGACATTGGTGATGAGCAGACGATTTACGTGATGCAACTGACACAAATAACAACAACAATACCAACAGCAACAACGACATCATCATCATCAACAACAACAACAACAACAAACAGCAATAACAACAACAACCACAACAACAGCAACAACAACAACAACATCAACAACAACAACAATAACAGAAGCAATAGCAAAAACAACAGCAATAACAACAACAGTTTAAGACTGCTCGCCCGTATCTGCTCGGGTGCCATTCAACGCACATTGCTCAAACCCTCGACACCGCCCTCGTGGTCTTCGATCGTGCCCCCTTTGGGGGGTATATTTTTCTCCCCTGCAGGCCGGGCCCAAGCAAGCGGCGGGGCGGCCACAGACTGTCGGCCGCGCAAGCGGCGGCGCTGACCCGCGGCAACCCGACCCCAAGGGGGACGGACAAGGGACCGACCGCGACGACGACGACGACGACGGGGGAGGGGGAAAGGAAGGATGAAGACGAGGAGGGCGAGGACGATAAAAAGGAAGAGGAAGAGGAGGAGGACGAGGCGGAGGAGGAGGAGGACGGAGGGAGGGAGGGAGGTAGGATGGAGGAGGGCAGGGAGAAGGGAGGAGAGCGTTGAAGGGCAGCGAATGGGCCACGAAGGGCGACAGCGGGGCCACGAAGAGTATACGCATATGGGGCCACGGCGGGCGCGAGCGAGCGGGGGCCACGAAGAGCATACGCATATGGGGCCGCAGAGGGCAAGGACGGGGCCACTGAGAGCAGCAACGGGGCCACGAGGAGCAGCGAGCGCGCCACAAAGGGAGACAGCGAAGCCACGAAGGGCATGCATATTCGGCCCCGGCGGGCGCGAACGAGCGGGAGCCACGAAGGGCATACATCGATGGGGCCAAACATGGCGACAGCGGGGCCACGAACGCCAGTGATAGGGGCCACCACGGGCAGCGAGGGGGCCACGAAGGGCGACAGCGGGGCCACGAAGAGCATGCGCATAGGGCCACGAAGGGCGCGAGCGAGCGGGAGCCACGAGAAGCATATAATGCGGGGCCACAGGGCAGCGACGGGGCCGCTGAGGGTAGCACCAGGGCCACGAATGGGAGCGAGGGGGCCACGGAGGGCAGCAACGGGGCCACGAAGGCATGCATATGGGGCCACGGCAGGCGCGAGCGGGGGGGACGAAAAGCATACGCATATGGAGCCAGAAAGGGCGACAGCGGGGCCACCAGTTCAAAACAGACGCCCGATCCCGAAAACGATAGGGCCAAAACAAAACGCAGGTTCCTCGAGACTTCGGGGAGGGAGATTTCGGGGCAGGGTTTCGCCAAGGGGACAGCAACGCACGCAAGCCATAACCCGAAATCGATGTTTGGTGTTCGAGTCCTCGGCGGCTCCGCGATTTTGGGATTAGGGGTGTTTTTCTTCGCTACGTAATGGGGCCACGAGGAGCAGCGAGCGCGCCACGAAGGGAGACAGCGGGGCCACAAAAGGCATGCATATGGGGCCACGACGGGCGCGTGCGAGCGGTGGCCACGAAGAGCATATAATGCGAGGCCACAAAGAGCAGCGAACTGGTGTTAGGATCAAATTTCGTGGAACCCTGAAAGAAAACGGGATGTTGGGAGAGCGGGGCGGAAAGATAATGAGAACTGCACCCGTGTCGAGAGGAGCGCGGGGGTGGAGTGGATTGGGATGGAGTGGACAACAATAGGGTCTCAGGAAAAAGAGCGGCAAGCAGTGGAGAAGAGGAACCGGGAGGAGTGCGGAGAGGGCATAGAGGGCCACGAAGGGCAGAGAGGGGGCCACGAAGGGCGACAGCGGGGCCACGAAGAGTATACGCATATGGGGCCACGACGGGCGCGAGCGAGCGGGGGCCACGAAGAGCATACGCATATGGGGCCGCAGAGGGCAAGGACGGGGCCACTGAGAGCAGCAACGGGGCCACGAGGAGCAGCGAGCGCGCCACGAAGGGAGACAGCGAGGCCACGAAGGGCATGCATATTGGGCCACGGCGGGCGCGAACGAGCGGGAGCCACGAAGGGCGTACATAGATGGGGCCAAACATGGCGACAGCGGGGCCACGAACGCCAGTGATAGGGGCCACCACGGGCAGCGAGGGGGCCACGAAGGGCGACAGCGGGGCCACGATGGGCATGCGCATTGGGCCACGAAGGGCGCGAGCGAGCGGGAGCCACGAGAAGCATATAATGCGGGGCCACAGGGCAGCGACGGGGCCGCTGAGGGTAGCACCAGGGCCACGAATGGGAGCGAGGGGGCCACGGAGGGCAGCAACGGGGCCACGAAGGCATGCATATGGGGCCACGGCAGGCGCGAGCGGGGGGGACGAAAAGCATACGCATATGGGGCCAGAAAGGGCGACAGCGGGGCCACCAGTTCAAAACAGACGCCCGATCCCGAAAACGCCAAGGCCAAAACAAAACGCAGGCTCCTCGAGACTTCGGGGAGGGAGATTTCGGGGCAGGGTCTCGCCAGGAGGACAGAAACGCACGCAAGCCATAACCCGTAATCTTTGTTTGGTGTTCGAGTCCTCGGCGGCTCCGCGATTTTGGGGTTAGGGGTGTTTTTCTTCGTTAAGTAATGGGGCCACGAGGAGCAGCGAGCGCGCCACGAAGGGAGACAGCGGGGCCACAAAAGGCATGCATATGGGGCCACGACGGGCGCGTGCGAGCGGTGGCCACGA